ATTTGGTTCTCAAGATGTGTTAGATCTTGTCACTGATGGCTATAATCTGTTAGAAGCAGACGCAACAGAGGCCCAGAAGATAGCACGGAAGGCACTGAGGAAGAAAGATCAGAAAGCGTTGTTCTACATCCATCAACGTGTGGATGTGAATGTGTTTGAGAAGATTGCTGATTCTGAAACAACAAAGGCTGCGTGGGACACACTAGTCAGATGTTACGGTGGTGACGCATCAGCGAAAAAGGTGAAGCTTCAGTCTCTCAGAAAGAAATATGAGAATCTCAGCATGAAGGACAACGAGAAGGTTTCTGAATACATCTCTAGAGTGATTCTGATTACTAATGAGATGAAATCTTGTGGAGAAACTCCGACTGAATAAGTAATTATTGAGAGGATCTTGAGATCTTTAACTTCTCGGCTTGATTACATTGTTGTAGCAATTAAACATTCCAAAGATCTGAGCACCATGAGAGTTGAAGAGCTGCAAAGTAGTCTAGAGGCGCATGAGTTACGTATGACTGCAAGAACTTCTAAGAGGGAAGTAGAGCAACATGCTCTGAAAGTAACTTCCGGTAAGAAGCATCAGAAGTAGACTTGGTCAGAATCCAGGAAGAGAACTAATGGTGGTCAAAAGTCAGAAGCTTCAAACTCTGATAGGCAGAAGAATGTCCAGAAGGGAAAGGAGAAGTCTGACAAGAAGAATGTCCAGTGTTACTGTTGTAAGAACTTTGGTCACTATGCTAGAGATTGCTGGTTCAACAAAGAAAGGAAGTCAGAAGAAGCAAATATAGCAAGAGGAGACTCTAATGATGAACCTGTTCTATTGTTGGCTTTTGAACCTGGTGATCTGAATTCATCAGAATGGTGGTATATGGACACAGGGTGTTCAAACCATCTTACTGGAAACAAGAAGTGGTTGGTTTACTTTGACTCTGGGAAGAGTACACAGATCAGATGTGCTGATGACAAATACCTCAATGCAGAAGTTATGGGAAATGTCAGAATCATTCTAAACAATGGGAAATCAGTTGTGATCCAGAATGTTTGATATGTACCTGGCATGAAAAGCAATCTGATGAGTGTGGGACAACTGGTTGAGAAAGGTTTTTCAGTTACCATGAAGGACAATCTTCTGAAGTTGTATGACTGTAATCAGAAGCTGGTTATGGAGTCAGAATAAGGAAGGAACAGAACATTCAAGTTGAATGTTAGAACTGCAGACTCTGAATGTCTTAGTGCAACAAGTGTTGTCAAGGAGAGTGAGATGTGGCATAGAAGATTTGGTCATCTGAATTTCAGAAGTTTAGGGAATCTGAAATCAAAGAACCTGGTACATGGAATTCCTACAATCAAGAAGCCTGAAAAGTCATGCAAGGTGTGCATGGAAGGGAAGCAACCAAGATTACCCTTTACATCAGAAGTAGCTCCAAGAGAAAAACATGCCTTGGGAGTAGTACATTGTGATGTGTGTGGTCCGTTTCCAGTAGCATCAACTGGAGGGAATAAATATTTTGTGTCATTTGTTGATGAGTTCACCAGAATGATATGGATATCTCTCATAAAGTTCAAACATGAGGTGTTTGCTGAATTCAAAAAGTTCAGACTAAAGGCTGAGAATCAGAGTGGCCAGACTCTGAAAATTCTTAGAATTGATGGTGGTGGTGAGTATAACTCCACAGAATTCAGAAGTTTATGTGAGGAGAATGGAATTGAGCATGAGGTTACTGCTCCATATACTCTTCAACATAATGGTCTTGCTGAAAGAAGAAATCGTACTTTGCTAGATATGGTGAGAATCATGCTGAAAGAGAAGAAGCTTCCTCATACTCTGTGGGGAGAAGCTATTGCAACGACATGTTATGTGCTCAACAGATGTCCAACAAAAAAATTAAAGGAAATAGTTCCTATTTAGAAGTGGACTGGAGATAAGTAAAGTGTTAGTCATCTAAAGGTATTTGGTTCTGTATGTTACAAACATGTCCCAGAAGCCAGAAGACAGAAGCTGGATGATAGAAATAAAGTGATGTTGCTGGTGGGGTATCACAGTACAGGTTCGTACAATCTTTATTGTCAAGAAACTAACAAAGTTGAGTTCAGCAGAGACGTCATTGTAGAGGAATCAAAAGTTTTGAATTGGGAAAAATCTCGTCCTGACTCTGATGACAGAACTTCTGAAGAAAGGTCAGAAATACATGTTTCTGAAGCTAGTAAAGACTCTGACTCTAAAGAAGATACAGCATGAGAAGATGATTCTGACTCTGACTCCGATGGTGATCAAGACTCTGAAGACAGTCAAGGTTCTGGAGAAAGTTAAAACTCTGAAGCAAGACCTTCTGAAGGGGAAAGTTCTGGTGTCCAAAGTTCTGAAGGTCCGGTTCAGAGGCAACAAAGAGTCAGAAGCATCCCAAGAAGATTTAAAGAGTTTGACATGTTGCAAGACACTGAAGTAGACTTTGAAGGAGAAGTTATTCAGTGTGCAATGTTAGTAGACTCTGAACCCGTGAATACGGAAGAGGCTCTTAAGCAACAAGTTTGGTTACAGGCCATGAAAGAAGAACTTGATGTTATAGAGAGAAACAAGACTTGGAAGCTGACAGAACTTCCAAAAGGCAAGAAAGCCATCAGCGTCAGATGAGTTTTCAAGCAGAAGCTAAAGCCAGATAGATCAATTGGCAAACACAAAGCGAGATTAGTAGCAAGAGGCTTCCTACAGAAGCCTGGGCTGGATTACTTTGAAGTGTTTGCACCTGTATCGAGACATGAAACAATCAGACTAGTGATTGCAATAGCTGCTAACAAGAATTGGCCTCTGATGCATTTAGATGTAAAATCTTCATTTCTGAATGGTGCATTACAAGAAGAGGTGTACGTTTCACAACCTCCTAGATTTGAGAAAAAGAATCAGGAAGGGATGGTGTTCAAATTATACAAAGCGTTGTATGGATTGAAGCAAGAGCCCAAAGCTTGGAACTTGAAGATTGATTCGTTTTTCAAGGAACAAGGGTTTCAGAAGTGTGAGATGACAGATCTTGGAAAAATGAGTTTCTTTTTAGGGATGGAATTTATATACACTGAGAAAGGAATCATTTTACATCAGATGAAGTATGAACTAGAGCTTCTGAAGAGATTTGAGCTAGAAAATTGCAAGGTTGCTATCACACCTGCTGATACGAATCAAAAGTTGGATTCTGATTCTGATGGAGAGGATGTGGATGCTACAACCTTCAAACAGATGGTTGGTTCTCTAAGATATTTGTGTAATACCATACCTGATATTTACTATGCAGTTGGAATGGTTAGCAGATTTATAAGAAGACCAAAGTGGTCCCATTACCAAGCTACAGTCAAGATTCTGAGGTATGTGAAGGGAACTCTGAAATATAGAGTGTTATTTTTGTCTGGAAGAAAGATCGAATCAGAACTTCTAAGCTATTCTGATTCTGATTGGTGTGGAGATAGAGTTGACAAAAGAAGTACTTCTGGGTACTTATTCAAATTTCTGAGAGGTCCTATTTCTTGGTGTTCTAAGAAGCAGCTTGTTGTTGCTCTGTCAACCTGTGAAGCTGAATATATTGCAGGTGCTCTGACTGCATGTCAAGCTGTGTGGATTCTGAACTTGCTGAAAGATCTGAAGATTGAGGTAAATAAACCTCTGAAGCTGATGATTGATAACAAGTCTGCAATCAATCTTGCCAAGAATCTAGTGTTGCATGGAAGAAGGAAGCATATTGAGACTAAATATCATTTTCTGAGGAATCAAGTTCAAAATGGAATAATGGAGGTTGTGCATTGTACCACTCAGAAGCAGCTGACATATGTTCTGACAAAAGCTATCAAAACTGATCAATTTCTTGGTTTAAGGGATGGAATTGGTGTTGTCAGTTTTGGGTAAATATAAATTAAGGGATGGTGTTAGAATTAATTTAGATTTAATTAGATATTAGTTTATATTTAGGAATATCTTTTAGATTGTTTATATCTTTGTTAGAAGATATATATCTTAGATCTTCTTATATCTTTGTAGAAGATATATTTTAGATTTAATCTGTGTATATAAATAGGTTAGTGGAGTAGGTTATTGTAATTCATTGTAAATTCTTATTTTGAAGCTATCAGTAAATATTCCTTTACCTTTTATCTTCCTTGTGCTCCAACAATTCTTACCAAATTGACCAATTGAAGTTTTAGTTATTTAAAAAGTTATTGAAATTAGATGGGTAAATGGTGAAATGAACTTTTTATAATATATGGATAACTGCGTCATGTATCAACCAAGTTACTTTATTAAAATCATTAGAGTTTAATAATTTTATACTTGATTTAAATAAATATCGAGACAAAATGGTATTAGTTCACTCATTCAAGTGGATGGGAAGATGCTCATTTTTGCATGAAGAATAGTTTCGCTATTTTACAAAGATTATATGATATTTTAAGTGAATATAAGATTATTGAAAGTTCATAAAAAAATAATTAAGTTTCTAAAACATAATTATATGAATAAGGGCCAATTAGAAAGTTTAACATGAGTAAGGGACAATTGTGGGAGTCAACACAATGATTTAAGTGAGAAATATCTTGGTCGTTTTTGAGATGAAAGTATACAAGATGGAAATGAAAAGAAAATCAAAATCACATTTTATATTTTTCCTCATTCCACCACACTTAAATTGAGAGAAGAAAAATGAGAGTGGAAGTTGAAAGGAAGTTTCCTTTGCTTCTTGACAAAAACACTCAAGATTTTCACTTATTTTCAAAAGAAATAAACTATTATACTTAATTATGAAAGTGAATAAAAAAATATAAAAATTTTGGCGACATTTTTTAAAATACTTCTGTAATTTTATTTTCAGCCATAGTATTATTTAATTAGTAATTAATTTATTAAAACAAAAAATATAGTATATATAGAGACCTTAACCCTCAAACCACACCATATGCACATGGTCTTCAATGATACAAATGCCATAGCATAAAATAAAACTGAAGAAAACATGGAAACTCTAGTAAGCATTATCACCTTCAAAATTTCCTGGTGGATCATAGTTACAAGTGATAAACGTCCATCCACTCTTACAATTTACCCTAGCACAACCAACATGAGAAGTAGCATGCCAAATAACCTGCGTATAATGCAAGCATTCATCATTTTCACACGAGTTTGTTTCGTGATTATAGTTTTTCTTCTCATCCACCCACAAATTCACAGCATCGATAGCAGTCATTTCCGGGTCAGAACTCCCGGCAAGATTCTCGCCATAAGGCCCGCCGGAGTGCTCAAATTCGCAGGTTTTCGATCCTCGTATTGGCATAGTTCTGAGCATATTCTGCAAGGATGGGGCTCCAGTCTAGTGGAGCGACACCAACCTCTTCACGAGCCCTGTTGTGCGCGTCTAGGTAGTCGTGTGGCTCGTTGTGTGCTAAGCAAATGAAACCATACATGGAGAAAATGGTTAAGATCTCGAGAATATTCATTTTCTTTTTTGCTTTCTTAGCTTCTCAATCGGTCATGAATATATATAACAGAAGTTAATAATAACAAAACTAAAAAAGCAACAATCTAGTGGGTAGCCTCCTCATTCGCTCGTTCTCAAGATTCACTTAAAAAAGAAGTCACAAAGATAGATAATGCATATCGTGATAATGCAACCTTTTTGAGTGGACAATATCGTGACAATGCTAATTGTTGCAATTAAAGTTTGGACACTCTGTAAAATAATTTGTTTCAATTTTGACATATCGATAACCAATGGCGGATCTAGACATTTTATCTAAAGGCGCAAAAGTAGAATAAGTTTTTTTAATAAATAAAGAGAAAAAGATTAAAAATAATAATAACATTTGACAGAATTTGTGAACTTTTTTGTTTGGACATAAATGAGAATTGTGTGTCTAATGAGAATACAGAAAGAAAAAAATAGTCTTGTCAAAAAACCTATGTATTTTGATTTGTCTTAGACATGGAGTAAAGAGTAATTCTTTTAAATAGTGAAGGAAATAGAAAAATAAAAATAAGTTGAATAATGCTAAGACGACATTCTCTAACACACATCTTAATATCAAGTTTATCATTTGGTCATCCTCCTCTTTGTTAGTTAAATAAATTTTTCTAACACACAAATCTTAATATCTTTTTAGTAGTTAAGTTTATTAATTGGTCTTCCTCTTCTTTGTTAATTAAATAAATTTGACAGAATTTATATGAATAGTAAATAATAGAATAGACGGTTAATACATGAGTGTTGTACCTCAAAATTTGTCTTCCCATATTTCTCAAACACATGTCAATTGAGGTCCTCAAATTACTCAAGAAGGTCCAAGAGTTGACCAGACAAACTCTCTCCTAAGACAGTCTATCTCAAATTAGGGTTTTATTTTGCATCAAGATGCTTGAGTCCAAAGGATCCCAAATTCTCACCATTGACCTAATATGTTCTCAAGATCATCCATGCCATGTTTCAAGCCTTGCAGAGGAAGTTTGCTCAGTCAATTGCTCAAATACCTAGAAATCGACTGTGATAGGTCAAAAGTCAATTGTGGCCCACATACAGTCAAATTTCAAGATTTTTGGTCAACATCCTCATTTTGAAGTATTATTTATCATTTGATCAAGGGTTGATCATATTCCTCAAGGATTTCCCATAATTCATCAAAATCCAAAAGTTGCTAAATTAGGGTTTTGCAAGAAAAGTCAACTCAACTTTGACAAAGCATAACTTTCTCATACTTTATCAGAAAAGATCCATCCAAAGCTCATTTTGAAGAGGATGCAATCCCCTACAATTCATATTCATCTCCCAAGTTCAAAATATGCACTCACAAGAAGATATGAATTTTGACATTATAGGTCATTTTGAAGAGTCATCAAAAACACCTTTTGGGTCAAAAGCTTCATACATGAACATGGAGGACTCAATTGAGATGAGATCAAAAAGGTTGCTTAGGGGAAATCCTAAGCTTTCTAAAAAGTCCAAGAGAACCCTCATAGGGTCAAAATTGAAAGAGATGCCTTGTCAAAGTTAACCCTTTTTGCATAATTGCCAAAAGTCAAATGTGTCCAAAATTGCATTTTTTGCTAAATGCGCCTAACTTTTTATGCTTGCACTGAGTTTGTAATGTGATCCACGACCCATGAGCCCTTCCACTTGTCATTATTTTATTTTTGTTATTTATTTTGATTTTATTTCATTTAAATCTAATAAAATCAATATAAAATAATGAAAATATCAAAAATCAACTAAACCTTGAGATTTTGTGCTTGATTAGAGTCATTATACAGCTGGTGACAAGATCAAATCGTGTAAGGCTTCATATGGACAGAAAAGATTGAAAATGCTTGTTTTGGAAAGATTTGGTGCAAGGAATAAATCAATGATCAATCTTCATAAATGGCCAAGATTTGATGAAGATTGATCAATTCCGTAATGGTTACGTCTCAATGATCTTTATTTCTGTTCTAAATTCCGTAATGGCCAACGATTGGTCCCACCGGGTGTGCTAATTTGTTTACAGTGATTTCTAGTAAACAACCGCTAGTCCTCCAAACTATCGAATAATCTTACTGACTGTTATTCAATTTCTCTGGTAACTCGCAGGATCGACTAGATTGATCCTAGGATGTATTGGTCATTAGGGTAACTCTCATGATAGAATTGGTATTCATGGTTGGTATTTGGAATGTTGTGTAGGTACTTAACTTACTTCGATTTCTCTATTAAAGATCTAAAGGTGTGATCAAGTAAATGTGCGCGAAACTAAATTGCATGAATAAAGGTCAATTGTAAAGACATGTAAAAACTGCATAAAAGACAAGTAAATGACTTCGAAGCATAAAAACAGTTAATGTAAAAGATTCTCTGGAATGTAAAAGATTCGAAATATGAAGAAAGCGTTTAAATGCAAGAAAACTGTAAAATGACTTTAAGTGAAAAAGGTGTTCGAATGATAAAAGCTTAAAGATAAAGGCATGAAATATACGACAATTTCTGAAATGTAAAGTACTTGAAGTGAGAAGAAAGCATTTAAAGGTAAGACATTAGTAAAAAGACTTCGAATGAAAACATTTTAAATGCAAAAGCTTGTGAATGGTATTGACATGAAGATAAAGTAAAGTACTGGAAATGATAAAGAGTTTTTATTAAATCATAAACACTTGGTGTTATCATACGTACATTGCTCGTGCATTCGTTTCCCTAGCCATGTGGTATTTTGAATGTTTACTGAGTTTTTTGTATAATAGATATGACACACGAAATCCTAATGCTAAGACTTCTATTTATACTACTTCGACCATAACGGTCTTGCTATAAGATTCTGCCACGTTCAGAACATGCAGAGCAATGCCTCTCTCTTGCTTTCACGCGTCTTCGAATGCTCCAGCGCATATATTTCAAATTTCGAACCTCCCGCTTGCATTTGAATTTCAAATGTTTTGGCACTGCTTCGTTTCAAACGCTTTTCTTAGACACAACCTTGTTATCATTTCAAGGCTTCTTTGAATATATTCTCATAACTGTTACTCGAAGCTCCAAGCTTTGATATGCCCATTCGAAGCACTGCTTCTACCATTTCGAAACATGACATTTTGCTTTATTTCAATCGAAACGTCCAATTTACTTTGCTTCTAATAATATCATCAAAATCTTCAGCTAACAAAATGCCCCTTTAAAATATGTATTTCGATTCCTTTGAGAAATACTTATTTTAAACATATACACAAGATTTTGATGCAACCTTCGAATCATCGTAACATTTATTGCATATGACTCCAGTCACGTCAATCACAATGCTTTTCAGATTCCTTAACCGCCTTGAACCATTTCACAGCATGGTGCAGTTACAAAACAATGATTACCTTTAATCACGCCTATTACCAATATTAACTTTACGCCACCTCTTCATCAGACCAACCCACGACTACCACGTATCACAATCTTACTCAGTGGATGCTTAAACTTCCACATTATAAAAACCCATCAACTTAGTCTTTTCTTTTCTTCCCACTTTCTGAATCTTTTCTCCATCTTTTCTCACCGAAACCCTAAACTTCCAACATTCTTCCAACAATGTCTTCTTCAACTTCATCTCAACTAAAAAAGGTTTCCAAAAAGAAAGGAAAGACCACAGGAACCAAAATGGAAAGCAAGGTTGGCACCTACCAAGTTCAATCTGTTCTTGTTCCCCAGATGATCTCAAAAGAGAAAGAAATGCTTTATGCATCCCAGGTACTAATTCCTACTAACGCTGCTGGCAAGAGGTTAGCTTTAATGGGCCCTCTTACAGTCTTTGAAATTTTAAAAGACACCAGAAATTTTTTTCCAGTTTGCTATAATTTCAAACCTCTATTTAATAAAATGGATAGCCCCAAGACTATAGAGTCTTCTGATTCAACCACCGTAGAAAATCCAATCGTTCCCCCTAAGGACCCTTTCGTGCTAGATTATGTAAAGAGTAACTTCAACCCGTTTCGATCTTGCCCCACCTCCGACACAGCCTATCACAACTGGTTTAATAAGGTAGAAGCTAAGAAATCCCAGCAATGGGAAGAATTAGGTATCTACAACTTGATTAAACTGTCAAAACCAGGTTTTACTTATAGCCACCCATTGTTATTCGCGTCCCTATATTTCTGGGACAGTACTTACAATACTTTCCATCTCCCTGGTGGAATGATTACCCCTACCTTTTTGACATAGCGGGCATTACTGGGCTATCACCAATAGGAGAAACATATATCCCTGACAATGAAGAGCATTCGAGTATTATCGACTTCGAAGTCAAGCTAGCAAGCTTTTCAAAGTTTATCAGCCACTATCACACTGAAGGAGACAGTGTGTCGGATGTGGAACACATTGCTTTCCTTACCTTATGGTTGTCAAGGTATGTCTTTTGCAGCAGATCCCTACAGGTAGCCAGTAGGTTTATTCCTCTAGCTAGAGATTTGCATGAGAATCAGAGGGTGTGCTTAAGCGAACTGCTATTAGTTGATCTTTATGAAAGTCTAAGGTCAGCTGTTTCGAGTCTAAAATCTCACACCTCCAAGAATATCCTGCTAGCTGGCCCTTTCTGGTTACTTCAGTTATGGCTAAATGCCATGTTCGAACCTTCACTATCAACTGCCAATACTATTGCTGAACAAGACCCTGAAATAGCGGATAGAATCATTGAAGGCACCAGGCTGCGAAGACTAACCCCAAACGATGATAAGGATGACTTCAAAGTTCTATTCTCAAAATATATCATGATATTCTCCAAGAGGCATAAGTTCGAAGAGACCATGGCGCCTTTTGCTTCAAGGGCTCATGGACCTTCATGGTTCACCATGGCTCTCTCAGAAGCTGTCAAAAGCAAAGAAATTCAAGATGTATGGAGAGCCTTTTTGCTACCCAGACTAATTTCTTCAAGAATTACTCCTGCTAAGAATCAAATTCTCCTTTTTTCTTATCAGCCCAACTTCGTTTCGAGACAGTTTGGCT